TCGCCGGAGGCGGCAAATTCGTTGAGCCGGCTTAGGACGTTTATATTGTCCTTTTCCAGCTGTCGTAATCTATCGCCAAACTTTTCTTCGATCACCTCCGCTAGCTGACGAGTCAAGGGGGCTGATCCTCCTGACCTGATTACCATACTGGTTTGAGGGATAACCCCTCTTGACTGAATAGAGGCATTCTTATTCCCATCAGTGTGATCCCTCCCTTCATGGTAACAGGGAGGTTGTAACTCGAGACTTCTTTGGTGGGGACCTTTCCCTTTTTGTCGAGTGTTCACCATAGTCACTGTTCTTTATAGAGAAAAAACTAGGAAAACTAGTCGTTTCCCACAGACGGCGCCAAATTGTGCTTGCTAGATCTTGCACAATATAAAAACGAGAACAGATCTCTCCCTTGGTGAACTCGAGTGAGTCAGTTGAGTGGTCAACCACGCTGCTTGGAACAGCCTGTGAGATCCGGTGGTANAAATTGTGCTTGCTAGATCTTGCACAATATAAAAACGAGAACAGATCTCTCCCTTGGTGAACTCGAGTGAGTCAGTTGAGTGGTCAACCACGCTGCTTGGAACAGCCTGTGAGATCCGGTGGTAACCTGGAACGGTAATGGGAGATCCTCGCGGATCAAAGGAACGATCCAGTAAGGCTGAAGAAAGGTTCCTGGAACAAAGAAGAACAAGTTAGAAGGGCGCCGGAGTGTTTTTCGGCGTATCCCCTCCGACGATCAAGTCAGTTTTTGAGAGAGAGGAAGAAGAAAACACTGAGTATAATTTGTAGCAAAAGTTTCACCTCCTTTTCTTGCCTTTAGTGAGGAGTATTTATACCTCAAATACTCATGATTGCTGTCAGTGTGGTCAGTAGGTGATCATTAGATACAGGCAACGTGCGCACTGATTCCTATGAGGAATGTCTTCTCTCTTAACTGCTCGGGACCCCGAGCAATCAAGACTGTGTCATCGGCCTGCCGACGGTTCAATGAGCTCCTCTCGGGGAGGATGCAATAAATGCCCAGCCTTAGAGACATTTATTGTCTTTCACTTCTGAGCCTTACCGCATTGAATGCAGTCTCATCAAGGGAATGGTGTAATTAAATGCTTGTTTTCCCAAGTCGCGTGTCAGCAAGGTCATGCGGTCTTTCTGTCTCTGATGTGACACAATATGCCACGCGTCCATTCCTCATTGGCTGTGGCCCCTGCCTTCCTGTGCCTTCTGACACCAATTGTGTAAGACGAGGTCATGATAGCTAACCTAGCCTAGCCTAGGCTAGTGACCAGTGCATCAATAGCCTCTGCTGGAGCAGAGAACTTCATCCTGGATGAGAGGGGTACATCTCGGTACCGAGGAAGAGGTACATCTCAGAGCCGAGGAAGAGGTACATCTCGGAGCCGAGGAAGAGGTACATCTCGGAATCGAGGAATAGGTACATCTTGAATCCGAGAGGGGGAGGCCTAGCGACCGATGTACCATATCAGACCGAGGGTACATGTCGGTACATAGAAACGTACTGGATGCCACTCGATCCTATGATAAGTACCTCGANAGGGGGAGGCCTAGCGACCGATGTACCATATCAGACCGAGGGTACATGTCGGTACATAGAAACGTACTGGATGCCACTCGATCCTATGATAAGTACCTCGAGGTAGAGGGGACTTGTGACCCGATGGGTACGTGATCTCGATAATAAGGATCAGTGACACCGAAGACACGTGTCTTCATCTTGGAGTATTTTGGAAATGTCCCATCATAGACAACATGAGTTTAAGTGTTACACGTGTACAAATCTTAAGGGCTCTGTATAATATTTCAAATATCAGGGACTCTAAGCGATTAAATGACAAATATTAAAGAGTCTTGGCATAATTTTCTCTAAATAATATTAGAATTAGAGACAAATAGAGAAAAGTAGAGAAGAAGTAAAAATATAAGAGAATAATCTATTGCATAGGCTATGTTACCCTACACTATTTTATAGTGAACTGATATTACAAAAATACAATATGACCCTACACTACTAATAATCTATACTACTTTAAAATGTCTACATAGGTGAAAAATATTTATCNAAATACAATATGACCCTACACTACTAATAATCTATACTACTTTAAAATGTCTACATACTTGAAAAATATTTATTNCCATGATAAGTACCTCGGGGTAGAGGGGACTTGTGACCCGATGGGTACGTGATCTCGATAACAAGGATCAGTGACACCGAGGACACGTGTCTTCATCTTGGAGTATTTCGGAAATGTCCCAACATAGACAACACGAGTTTAAGTATTACACGTGTACAAATCTTAAGGGCTCTGTATAATATTTCAAATATCAGGGATTCTAAGCGATTAAATGACAAATATTAAAGAGTCTTGGCATAATTTTCTCTAAATAATATTAGAATTAGAGACAAATAGAGAAAAGTAGAGAAGAAGTAAAAATATAAGAGAATAATCTATTGCATAGGCTATGTTACCCTACACTATTTTATAGTGAACTGATATTACAAAAATACAATATGACCCTACACTACTAATAATCTATACTACTTTAAAATGTCTACATAGGTGAAAAATATTTATCTTCATTTTTTACCCCCAAACAATAGTATTATGAAATTTTTATTTGAAAGGTGATAAGCATATGTGATCTTCAATAATAACCTTTAAAAATACATAATGACAACATTGAATTAAACTTTTCATATTCTCCATTTAATCACAATGGTGAAGAGAACTTTTGGACTTCTACATCAATAAATGGTCTTGCTGATTGGCTATGATGTTGATATATCTATCTATGTCTATATCTATCTATCTATATCAATAAAAATAAAAAANTGACAACATCGAATTAAACTTTTCATATTCTCCATTTAATCACAATGGTGAAGAGAACTTTTGGACTTCTACATCAATAAATGGTCTTGCTGATTGGCTATGATGTTGATATATCTATCTATCTATATCAATAAAAATAAAAATCTTTTAACTGAACTAAGAAATATATTTCACACAGGAGAATACATAATTAGTTATTATTCTATTGGTATGCAACCAATTAATATTGATCACCAATCTGCTTAAATTATTTAATTGACTTAAACCGCCACTTCCTAAATGTAATCAGCTTAAGCAACCCAAACCACAGTGAGCTTAAATGTACTCTCTAGAGTTACAACATCATTTAAGAAACATAATAGTTTATGAGCTTTCTCCTCCTCCAGAATTTCAAAATATTGAAAGCCCCTTTTCCCTCTGATTTTTGTTTAATGTTGTGTACTATTAAACTAGGTGTTATTGAGTGTTTCGTTCATATGTGTTTTTATCTTTGTTGCTTTTTAACAGCGTGATGTTCTTTGGCTTCTTTGAAAATAATTGTGGCAATAAAGGGTGATTTTTTTTTTCCTAAGTTATTTGGTTGAATGGAAAAGTATAGTGAAGGTTGGAGTTCAATGGGTCCCGTTTATGTTTCATATGAATTTTGTTTATCAGTTTTTACTTTTATTTAGGTTTGGAGATTTTGATAGATCCTTTAATTTTCAGGGAACTGAGATGGGTTTTGAGGGNAACTCAAGTACCCAATCACTAAGACAAAAAGCTCTTAGATGGGGATTTTGATGCGTGGTAATTTTCTTTATGCGCATTGTGTTTGGTTCGTATTGACAACAAGCATACTAACAAAATTATGTTCTGTTGTTGGTAAATCTGTGTATCTAAGGACCGGAGGCATAATGACTGACAAAAAATGTGACATGAAATAATTGAGAGGAAAGTGTGAGCCTTGAGAAAGAAGATAGCCTTTTTTTACTTGCAAGAAATATCTCACCTACTACAATTGCTTCACAAGGTCACAAATTAGTTTTTTTTGTTGTTTATTTACAAACACAAAATATAAAAAATTACTTATTAATTGTTGTAGTTTTCTTTTTGCAATTGCTTATATTAGACCTTTATGTATCACAAAAATTATTTTCAAGAGCATTATATTACTTAAACTACTTTGAATATAAGATTTGTCTATAAAACTGTGACTATGCTCACAATTAGGTTTAAAATACATATTGTTTACTGTAGTGTTATCAAAATCGGATCGAATCGGCTAGTTTGATTGGTTTGAACATGAATCGGGACCTAGACCGATCCAATTCTTGTGTTGGACCGAAANTTTCAAGAGCATTATATTACTTAAACTACTTTGAATATAAGATTTGTCTATAAAACTATGACTATGCTCACAATTAGGTTTAAAATACATATTGTTTACTGTAGGGTTATCAAAATCGGATCGAATCGGCTAGTTTGATTGGTTTGAACATGAATCGGGACCTAGGCCGATCCAATTCTTGTGTTGGACCGAATATGCAAGTGAACCGATAAAAAACTGTAAAATCGGCCGATTTTACACAAAATCGATGAACCGGACAATTTTTTCAAATTGGACAGTTCAAATGTTATTTGTTATAAACATCAAAATTTTTCCAAAACTATGAGCCTATGAGTGTTAGGTTTTTTCAGATGAGTGAAAGAGAGAGATGGGAGTATAGACTCTAGAGTTGTGCTTTCTCTTTTAGTTTTGTTTGTTTGTTTGTTTGTGCTTTTGTTTACACTATACAATGACTCACCAATTAATATACACACTAATTATGAATATGTTAGTATACACACAATATACGTATTTTGAATATATTTTATATATTTTTATATAAATAGTCTGACCAATTGACCTAACGGTTAGATCAATGAACTATTANCTAATTATGAATATGTTAGTATACACACAATATACGTATTTTGAATATATTTTATATTTTTTTATATAAATAGTCTGACCAATTGACCTAACGATTAGATCAATGAACTATTGACCCGGTCCCTTTGCCAGTTCAGTTCTGATAACATTGGTTCACTACCACTTATTTACTCAAATTTGAATAGTAACAAAGTCTTTACAAAAATATAGATAATATATAAATTCAAATAGTTCACATGCAACCCACGTGTGCACCAACTAGTATAAATAAAAACTCTTAACACAACCAACCACAATCTCAAGTTATCATGATCAACAAATGTATTTCTCAGAATAAAAATAAACTTTTAAGACAATGCTCAACTATACAAAAAACAGGATGCTGAACAAATCTACAAACATTAATCAACCAGAACAGCATACAATACTGATACCTCTCTAAACATCACATCAAATACTACATTTGATAAGGGAGAATAAATGCCTAAAATCTACGCTGATAAATTACAGAGGGGGAGATTGTAAATGATAGGATACAATAGATATTATCTTTGAACCTGATCAGGGGCATGGTTGCTTGTGGTAGATGATGACCCAGTTCTACCATTTAGCATCCCGTTATCTACAGGTGGAGTTACTCCCCACTTTCCCTCCGACTCTGAGGGTTCTATCGCTTTAACAGCCCCATCTGTCAATCCAACTGCAAATTGGTTGGGCTCGTGTGGATGTGCAGCAACAACAAGCGGGTAAACAGCTTGGCTTCTATAAAATAGTAAACCCATAAGTCAGATGCATACGCACAAAATTTGTGTAACTCAAACATCCTACAATGTATATAGGCATCCTCGTTTTCTTCTAAATCAAGTTCTATACAACTCTCCACAGAAAATGTGCAGCAAATTTAAAGTTTGAAGGGTTATTCATAGTGAGCAAGTCACGCCAGAAAAAGTATGCAAATACATATGTTGTCCCATGAAAAATAAATAAGTGAGTAATATGCAGGTACAAGGAAACCACTATTTGGAGACCAAAGCATTAGTTGTGAAAGTTCAGCATAGATTAGTTTGTCAGGAAAAAGGTCATTTGATGATATTATCGTCTGTTGAAGGTCAAAAAAAAAAAAGAAAAAATGAATGTATATATATATGGATCATGTAGAAGCCATATAAATTAGACAATCTCACATGTAAAAATTAGGGAAGAAAAATGTCATGCTAAAATTGAACAAGGACCAAAACCACCTACAGGTATTAGTTTGAGGCATGAGACACAATTAAACGGTCATTACCAATAATAGGTGCAGTGTCATACCCATTTAACACAGCCTGGGACAAGTACGTTGACGCGGCAATGCGGCATCTTAGTCTGAGACTATCTGCCTCGAAGACCCCAATGTTACCATCTGAGAAGGAAGCAAAAACTAGTTGACTGTTGCAGGAGTATGCTGCATAAGAAATAGGTGCAGAGAGGACATCTTGAGGAACCCACTGCAATTGAAAAAGGCATAAAAATTAACTTCTGTCACAGCTGGTCTTAATGCCAGATAATTAGGTATGTTTTCTACCTGACGGATGCGATCCATCTTGGAGGCATCATATATTGCTAGCTGTGTTTCATGGGATACCAGCAAACGAATTTGATCAGAGTGGAATAGTACTCGAGTGTCCCCAACAGGAGCTTTACCAGAAGGCAGTTGTATTGGAACTGATTTTCTCTTTTCCCAAGTATCAATGCTCCAAACACAAAGCTGCTATGTACAGTACATATTTTAGTACCAAAATGCGAGAACAATCTTGCACCCCATGCATGAATGGGATTGCCCAGAGTTCTCTTTGATTAGTGTTATTGATGAAAATGAAAAGGATACCAAATAGGAAGAAACTAAGAAGCAGACTGCAGAGTCAGCAGCCTGGACATATAGAATTTTCATTGCATGAATTTGACATGAAGAAACATATATAGAAGTGTGCTTCAAGAGGGGATTCTGAAAAACACAACTATTGTTCAAGAAGAGATGAAGCAATTCAAAGGGCCCTGCTTACGGATCTGCTGCTCATCTTCTAACCACTTCTGATTTAAAGCCTTCGAACTCTGGTTTCTAGATCACAGGGTAGCATGAGCCCTTGTGCGATACAATGAATAAAAGAATAGGAACAGAAGTCGAAGGGCATATTATAGGTCAACAGACCTCCATATATAAAGGTTGAGTTGGCAACCCCTTGAGACAAGGCAAAAATTGGAGGATCTGAAAGGAGGACCTGAGATTTAATCAAATAACTCTATGACATGGCTATAGTACTATGTAAGGTAACTTTCTATCCATGCTCTGAATTCAGTGAATTGAGTTTGTATTTTTTATCCTTTCAAACAATAACTTAACACAAGGAAACATAACAACAAAAACAACTCTTCTTTAAATGATGATGGTTGAGAATAAAACAAGAAAAGCCAATTATCAGGAGATAGATGTTTCCCAAGTGTGAAACACAAAAGGGATTGCAACTTGCCTGAGCATCAGCACCTGATGAAACCAATATGTTAAGATTGGTGGAAAAAGCTAAACCAGTTATGCGCTTCTGGTGACCTTTCAATTTTGATTTTACCTGTAAAAGAAAAATCACATCAGTTCCACGTATGTGAACAGTTGAAGCTTGAAAAAAAGAAATGTGAGAAAATAGCTACCTCATCTACCCTGACATTGTATATGTGGATAGTTGAATCCTCCATTCCAATGGCTATGATGTTATTATCTTGAGGATGAAATGCCAGGAAGGTTGATGCAGGGGGAGGTGGCATGAATGTTGTCATCACCTACATAGCACCATTTACAGTAAAATTCCATGCTCAATCAAATCTCAAAATGGGCAACCTACTCATGTACAGACATACCTTGAAGGTCATCATATTAAACAATGAAACCTTTCCACCAGCAGCCGACATTACATAGGAGTCATTCTTTGAGAGGGCTATGCATGGAACTGCTTCCTCAAGGTTGACACCTGACACATCATTAGTCATAAGAAGACCACTGTTTGGTTGCCACAGCTGTGGTACAACATTGGCAGTGGCCTTTTAACCCTCATGGACTTCAGAAGTCTCTTCATGAACATTCACATATAAAAGAAAGGAAAAACATCCATAAAAGTGAAACCACTAATATATTACCAATTACCTTTCCACTTGGATTTTGTTCATTTCGTACCCACTTCCACAGCTTTTGTACACCATTTGACCCAAGTGCCAAAACGCCAGCACCAGAATTTGTATACAGTAGTCGAGCAACCTGTATATAAAAGTCACCCAAACCATCATATGCTGATAATTTCTGTAGTGCAAGATACGAAGTATTAATTAGTCAATGCACCTTGTTGGCAGTGTCTGTGCTGTCTGGCATGGTAACTAGCCGGCACTGAACAGGCTCCACAATTTCAGTCAGCTGCCAGGGTTTCGTTTTATCAGTTACATCATCCAAATTTCTTGCCTTTTCCATGCTTCTACCCATAGGATCAACTCCATTCTACAAAAAGTCAAAAATAGGACCAAAACAACAGGACAGTACATAAGAAATCTTTCTCAAAGAAGTAAGAGAGATATATACAAGCACCAAAACAAGATGTTTGGCTAGATTCATTCCCAGAAGCAACATGCTCACCATTCAAAAAACTATAAACAGGAGCACCCCCTTTATAACATACAGAGGGGCACTATGACTAGGAAATGAAAACCATAAGATGGGGACAAAGGTGACCCTTATCCTTCCTGACAATCCAGGGGTAAAAAATAGCCCAAATAAAGGATTTAAGAAGCTTCTGTTTCTAACAAATTACACTCATGACTGCCAATGTATGGCCATATTTACTGCTGCAACTAGCATTGCAATATATACGCGTATGTGTATGCATAAGCCACAATTTTCAAAGAAATGCGTATAACTGACTTACAAGAATGCCAGAAGGCCTGACTGGGGAGCTCCTTTCCACTTTACAATTGACTGGACTGACATTTGCAACAGCAGAAGAGCCTGAAGCCTGAGAAATGAACACAAAGATCTCTGTAGACCCAACATTGCAACCTTCTAAAGAAATTGTTATTGGATTTAACAGAAATGATACCTTGATTGCAGCTGCTTCAATAGGTGATCTCAGTGCCTCAAAAGTTGGGGCTTCACCTGCCCTCAACAATCTGAGACCAACGGCATTTGCAAGTATCTTGATTCCATTATCAGTCGTTGTAACAGCAAGGAGATTCCCTTCCTTGTTAAATCTCAGGCGAGGAAGACTCTGAGGCAACAAAGGCATTGATTTAAGAGGCTCACTCAAATGTCGCCCACCCTCGCATGTTACTTTAAGTGCATCATTCAAAATAATCCATTTTTTTCTTTATTTGTCCATTTATTTCTTTAATATTGGGAGGGTGAGTGGGATATGGTGGTTCAAAAGATAACAGCAAAGCACATGTATTACTGACCTGGAGGCCACCTTCTGCATCTGTACTTGTGAGAACACTAGTATTGTCCATGTCCCAGAACTTTATCTGGTTTTCTTCACCCACAGCCAAAAAGTGATTTTGAGTTGTGTCGAACTGCACAACACCAGCTGATTTCTTTCTAAAACCAGAATAATTCCTCTTTATTGCTCCCTCACTTTCATTCCACTCTACCAGAAAAGAGTCTCCCTCTTTACTTGTTCCACAAGAGAACAATCTAAAAGAAGATATCACAGACCATGAAAAATCCGATAGAGTAAATATCAATCATAATACATATATCTTTTGATGAATATATTACATTTGCCCACGCATATATGGAATAAGAACATGCATCCCTGGAAATTTTGATCTCTTGGATTTCAGTATTCTCACCTGCTTCCATCAGCACTGTAAAGCATAGTAGTGCACCAATGCCCAGGAGCATCATAATCAACTCTGGATCCCATATTATCATACAACCAAGCCTTAATTTTCCCATCAATGGCGGTTGAAAATATAAACTGCCAAGGTAAGCATGAAAAGAAAGATGAACCAAAGATGCTCATAACAGAAAATCTTCATAAACATCAGTGAGCATACAAAAAACAATGTGGTATCGGTTCGATAATAAAATGGTAGTGCAGATTGAATCACACCCCTAGCAAGAAAGATTATGGGTCAAAAGAGATTGTCCAGCGGGCTGCTGGTATAAAGATTAGCAACACAATGGCAGGGATGCATGCTGTGCATGGAAGTGGAACACATCGCGTGAAGCAGCAACTCCAGCAGTAGAGATGCCAAGTCTGGACTTGATACTAGTTGCAATATTAAAATAGTCAACTTCACATGGTTATGAAAGGGTAACTTTTGACTGTGACCACTGTAAGTCGATGTAGTGGGGCAACATAAAGTGCGTGAGGCAGCAACTCAGCAGCAGTGATTAAATCCGGATTTGATACTACTTGAAAGTTGTGACAATTTTAGGTGGTCGCAATATTAAAATGGTCAACTTCACAGTGGTTGTGAAGGGGTAAACATGGTGGTGATAATCTTACTAGTGGAAACATGTAACTGTACTGGCATAGCAGAGGTCAGCGACGGTGGCAGAAAGTAATAATAGTTGTGCTCGTGATAGTGCTAAGTGCTAAAAAGTGATTTTTAAGGAAACTGAAACCATTGAAATACTTAATAGGAGTATCTTCTGTTTGCTAGGGTGTCTGCATACCACCCATCAATTGTTTAAGTTGTAAACACTCCATTAAGGCAGTGGTACTATTTCAGCTCATTTTAAATTCTGCAAAGCTTACTGAAGAACCATACATCAAGTCCACTTGCCAAAAACTATGCAGTAAAATCTTTAAAATGGGCTTAGTTAGGTTTCGTCAAGTTACTATTATTATATTTGACCAACAAGTATAAAGAAAATATTGCTTCTATCACCGGAAGGATATCTAGAAAGATGAATTGAGAAAAATGTGTCAGTAAATTTACTTCAATAAACTTTGTTGGAAAAAGCAAAATCCATCAATATATTTCATCTCTTGTATTCGCCCAATTTCACAAAAGTAGTTTTTTCCAGGATGGGTTTTTTCTTTTTATTTTGGGGGATGTTTGGGGGTGGGGGGCTGCAGTTGGGCAAGTGAATGCATAACTAACTAATAAATCTTTTTCTTTTATCTGACATACCTGGATATTCTCTTTTTGATGAGGACATATAGAGTATACAGGTGCTTCATGCCCTTCAAAGTTAAATAGCTTTCGTCCCGTTAAATCCCACACCTGTTTCAACTCTTCTACTTAGTTTTTAGCAAAAAGAAACTGAGAAGACAGAAATTATTAGATTACATGAATTTTTTTCTCACTTTTATCAACTTATCATCGCCACATGTCACTACACATGGCTGTTTGTTAGGATGGGCAAAAGCTAAGTCATTCACTCCTCCAACATGGGCATCAATCTGCAAGGACAAAGGGATGCTAGTTAAATAGCAGTCACAAATTTCAGCTTGTTGGAAGAGCAGCATTATCCCAACTCACCTCTAAATGCTGGCGTAATTCATTCGGTCCAGAATATGAATACAAGTGGATCAAATGCTTAGTAAACGCAGTCCCTGCAGCATGAAAAACTGTTAAGACATAATCACAGCCACCTCAAGAAACGTAGAAAACTGTTGACATGCACATACCCAAAAAATTTCCATCTGGACTCCACGTAACACGGCTTACAGATATTGGTGCATCTTTGACAACAGAAGCCTGTCAAACTCTTTACTTAGGAGAATCCAGTAAGAATTGCTGAACTAATAAAGCATAACAGTGAAAGGAACCCTATCAAGCTAAACAGAGTGGCCACAATGCAGGCAAACACGGTCACAGATATCTTCATTTCCTACTCGAGGTTTTAATAAATCAAATGGGACTTCAAGAATGAATAATATGTAATGAAAGTTAACAATCATTTTACTTTTATATCTAACAACAAGATTACTTCCTACGAAATCTTTCACTTTTTACTTTTCTTTTTCTTTTTCCAGCGAGTATAAAGCTTCAAGTATATATATGGTAGAAGAAACAAATACAATGGATTGAAGCATGCTTGGAACTTGATATAAGAACCTGAAATGTCAGAGAACAAGCTGCCATATCCCATATCTTGAATGGCTTTGAAACCAGCTTCTCCCTCATCCCCACTTCCCAAAGAATGATTTCACCATTACCAGAACCAACTGTTAAAAGGACATTAGATCAGATAACCGAAACCAAATAGAGGACCATTACCAGTATTAGTCCCGCTACTGCAGAATGCTGGTAGGTCCCAGTTATATAGTCACCACAAATATGGACAGAATAATTGTTAGAAACTATCATACCAAGAAGCAATGTGTGGTGAGAAGGATGAAAATCCATGCTTGTAACGCTGGTTCCTTGATGCATGGAAAAAGCTACGGTTCTTGGCAAGTCATCCAGGGACCAGGAAGCTTGTTGACGAATCATTGGATATGTTACCTATAAGGAAGCAAAAGTGTACCAACAATAGAATAAGTCAGTGAAAATAGCATCTTACAAGTAGTTTAGTGATGCAACTAAACATGTCAGACAGCAAATATAAAACCGGAACTCAAGATTACCTCCTCAACGGATTGTGCAGGCCGCAAACGTTTCATTAATTGTTCGTGATCCGTAGTTTGATATTCAACCATACCCAGCGTAGCTGGAGGTGTTATTGGGCGTTTCAATATTGAAACTGTTTGCAAGAATACATGAATGATGTCAACAGAGACTCACACAAGATATGCATGAAATAACTGAATGAGGAGAAATATGCTTGACAACTCAATAAGCGCCATAAATAAAGATCAAATTCCATATCTCCTACAAATAATTGAATATTAATGAGCTCTGTTGCATCTGTTTGAAACAACAGAACAAAATTTGCAAATTCAGCATCTACTTTTCCATTTAGGTCCACAATTAGAAAATTTAAGCTTCTCAAGGGTTCCTTGCATAAGGATATTCAGATGTGTCCATGACTGAACAAAAATGATAATTAATCCTCAAAAAATCGTGAATACCCGCTGGAGAGAGAGAGAGAGAGCCCACAGGGGAAAAAAAGAGGAGAAACTAGAAATGACAGAAGAATAAATGAAAGACGTGTCTTAGAATTTCAAAATATTCATAGGCCACTAAACTTTTTCTTTTCTGTACAGCTTTCAGAAAGTTGTTTAAATCTTTCCACCAAAAGCACCTTTTTTGGAATACATCTGTGTTGTTCAAGAAAATGCAACTAAGTGAACGNCGTGTCTTAGAATTTCAAAATATTCATAGGCCACTAAACTTTTTCTTTTCTGTACAGTTTTCAGAAAGTTGTTTAAATCTTTCCACCAAAAGCACCTTTTTTGGAATACATCTGTGTTGTTCAAGAAAATGCAACTGAGTGAACACCAACTCCAAATAAAAATACAGCCCTGACCTGGATTCTGTGGAACAGGTAAGGATGATGCAGTCACAACAGCTGCTTGAACAGATGAAGATGCAGCGGCATTTGCCATCCAACCTGCCAATGCATTAGCATTGGCAGCTGCTGCAGTGGGTGGAAAGGGCTGCATACAACAAATAAAGAGAACACATTTCGTCATCAAGATGGCAAATATTAATAGTCACCATCAAAAGGGGAAAAAATAGACTTATGAGATGAATGGTATCATACACCATGCGCTCCAAGTGATGTGTAAGCAGCAGTTTTTGCAACTGCGGCAACCGGAAGGTTGACAGGAGTAGCTGCAAGAGCCCCATTTGGAGGTGTGCATGTGTGGTCTGCGAATAAAGTCTTGATGTCTGGGTTTGGCCTGGGATTCTTGCACAGCTGGTGCTGCCAGTTCAAACTGGATAGACCAAGCAATCATATTTCAGAGGCCCAACAAACATAGCAAGCAATTCAATTTCCACAGAATCAATGGTAGTATACGTGACACTAACACAAAAACCCATCACTAAATGGCAGAATTCCAGAGTCTTAAGGGGCGAGAACATGAAAACACACACACCATATATATGATTTTCTATCCATCAAACACCAGGGATGAGTGGGTACAAAACTAAAAGATTAACAGCTGGTAATGCAATTGCCCCTTACATAGCTGATAGATACTATTATGACACAATTCACTTCATCAATCACAAAAGTGCACTAAATACAGAAAAAATGAGAACATAGAAGTTGAAATTAGGTGGATTGACACCAGACATTCAAAAATGATTTTCTCTAGAGGCGAAAAAAGGTAAAAGAACAGTCTAAAAAGAGAGAAATATCTAAGGATATTGATGTATACATATATAGCTTCACAGTAGAACAACCGAGAAAAACGNCACCAGACATTCAAAAATGATTTTCTCTAGAGGCGAAAAAAGGTAAAAGAACAGTCTTAAAAGAGAGAAATATCTAAGGATATTGATGTATACATATATAGCTTCACAGTAGAACAACCGAGAAAAACAAGAGAATAAAAGCTTGCTTATTCATCCATTAGAAAACCAACTTACCTCTGATTAATTAGAGTCCGCAATCTTGATGACTTTAAAGTAGGAAATGCAAGCTTCTCACGAAAAAGGGGATTTGCTTCTATTAGTTTTTTCAGTTCTATCAACATTATACTACGAGCTGTTTTGGTGTCACCGTACTTGGACAGCTGCTCATTTTCCCTGACATCAATGAACATTAACTAACTTGAAATCAACCGTGCTACTTTGAGTTGAAGTTAGCAGAAAGCAATGGAAAAAAAACAAAATTATCCAAGAAAAATTAATATTTAGAGTTGCACCAAAATCTCACAGCTAAGTGTAGAAAAACCAAAGAAAAAGGAAGGAAAATTAAGCCTCTTTTTGTCCTCAAAGGAAAGGAAACTCAAAGTTGATATGGCTTCCTTCTACAAGCATTATAGTTGCCTTCAACATTTCTGGAAACCAAAGGCGAGAAAAAATTAAGCGTATGAACTCATCTATTCCGTATCCTCCATTATTGAATGAAACAACTGATCTCAAATAAGTGACACACATTCCACCAGGCTTAGTTGAGTGAGGTTTGTTTTCATTACCAGATAACAACAACTTCAAGTTTCCAAATCCTTATTTCTATTCAATGCAAATAATGACAATAGAGATTCAAAATGTGGAACTGTTATCCGATGTCTAATCTCTAATCAACAGAATAAATAAATTATCATTTCCTATTCATGCCACACCACACACAAGACAAAAAATGATACCTGAAATTGCCAAGTGTCAATAGCTGAGTGATTTCTTTGTACAAATCTTCGTTGAACGTCGAAAATACTTTCAAATCATTCACCAGTATCTCAACGGCCTTTGCTTTGTCTTGCCTAATAGAATCAATCATTAGAGACCCCATTAAAAGCGAAAGTTAAAACTTTCTCAATCTCTACAAAAACAATTGTATCAAAAATCATTAAAAAACTGTAAATTTTTTTATACCGATCAAGAGCTTCGAGATACTTCTGCTTCCTGATTTCAAAGAATATCTTCATGGAGTATCTGTTATCGTCGACTTTAGTAAATCCAGACAGGTATTTCTCAACTTCTTCCCATTCACCAGCATGGACTTTCTCCTCAAAGTATTTCATGTTAAAGAAAAACCCCGACTCTTGCTCAAGCCTTCAAAATCAAAAAGTAGATATATTCGTTCTATTAAAACCAATTACCAAACGAGCCCTCCGGTAATTCAAATTACAAAGCCCCATTCAGCTCCCCAAATAGGCGAAAAAATGGAAGGAAATAAATCTCAATTTTGAATCTCGGCATTTTTGTCACTACAAAAGCCTTAATAGCCCTGAGCCTACTTGCCTTAATAAAGATTGAAGTTATCCATTTCATCAAAGTTTCAGACAGTACAAAACTTCTAATTCATCATTTCCTTATCTTTTTACTTGTATATTAAATATGCAGTATTAAAACAAACGTATGGAGGGAAAAAAGAATGAAACTCCCCGTCAACTGAACCTCGCATNACAGTACAAAACTTCTAATTCATCATTTCCTTATCTTTTTACTTGTATATTAAATATACAGTATTAAAACAAACGTATGGAGGGAAAAAAGAATGAAACTCCCCGTCAACTGAACCTCGCACAATTAATTGTCTTAGTCGAAATTAGTTTTCCTTTATATATACTTTGTTGGTTACAAAAAATTAAATGATAAATTAAAGTTCTTTCTTCTATTTCTCTCAGTAATCTCAACAACCAAACACAGCTGATAATTATACAGAGAACCACAGTAATATGAGAGAGATAAGAGGAGAGAGACTTACTTGTGCACAGACTCCTTAAATTTCTCCTCCTCCAGAAACTGGAGTATGAGAAACACCAATTCTCTGCTCAAAGACGACATTATCCTCCCACAAAAGCCAACTCAGATCCAAATCAAAACAAAAACACAACCGGAAAACCACCAAAAAAAAAAAACAAAAACAACAAAACCGCGACAACGAACTCGAAACAAATGAGTCCAATTCGGAAAAACAACAGATCGAGAGCCCGAAAGCCGCCGACGAACCAGAACACCGACAATTCTAGGGTTTCCGCTGAGGAAAAGCCACGATACAAAGGCTGCGGAGAAGACAGAGAAAGATAAAGCATAGGGAGGGAGAGAAGTTTGTAGAGAGAGAAAGTTAAGAGGACTTGGTCTCGCTATCTTCGATGCCTTTGGCAGGAGTCTATATTCTCTACTGACCTATCACTGATACCTAAACGTACTTATCACTGCCAACGAATGATAAGTGCTAGAAGAGTGATAAGAGAGCGGGCGACTATCATTGCGTGAGAGAAGGCGTTGCGGATTTGAAATGAGGAGTTCAAATGTAGTTGAATATTCCGGTTGGAGTCACGTTTCATGTTGAGTCGTGCATGTGAGCTTACATTATACAGTCGCTTTCGTCGGCATTTAATTCCACAGCTCAAATTTCTCGCGATATTTTACCATTTGTGGCTATTCTGGTATTTAAATGTTATCTGACGAAACAGTTGTCAGACGCGGTTTAAGATTAGAAACACCCGTGTAAGTCACGCGCTATAACGAGATAAGGTGGGACCCGCAATTTTTGTTGTCTCAGTCAGTCAGACCTGTTTGGATGTTAGTTGGAGATGTAATTGAGCGTTTGTTTGCCCCTAAAATGTAAGAAAAAAAATTATGGTATTGAAATTTAAAATTTTTTATTACTATTGATTTTAAAATATTATGATTAATTATAAATTTTAAAAATTAAATTACATATTTTAAGAAATGATCGATAATGAATTATCTCAAATAATTATAATTTTACTTTTAAAAAGTTTAACTTAACTTAAAAATATAGTAATTTTTATTATAATATCAAAAAAAAGTTTTTCGATAAATAATAAAAGTTTGACTCCTCTTTGATTTTCAAGGAATTAGAGGTTTTATCACAGGGTCATTAATATATATAATAATGAATATATATATATATATATATATATATATATATAAAGNAAATAATAAAAGTTTGACTCCTCTTTGATTTTCAAGGAATTAGAGGTTTTATCACAGGGTCATTAATATATATAATAATGAATATATATATATATATATATATATATATGATAGAGAACATAAAAGAGAGAACTCTATACAATAGTTATGGACTCTTAATTGTGGCTAAGTATAGTTAGATAAGACATTTTGAGTAGTTAAAAACAATGATGTATAGTTAGAATGGGAGACAGTAGGTATTAAGAGACAACAAATGAGACGTAATGCATACATCTTTTTTTTTTTTTTTTAATCTTTTTTAGCAATGAATATCTAACTTATATCTCCCTTTATTAATAGTATATATTTAAGGATCTTAAAAATTGTTTGAATGATAAAAATCTATTCATGTTATCAAAATTTTTTTTTTTTCAGAAAGTGCTTGGTATTTTGAACAGGAAAAAATAATGGAAGTTGTTACTATCCATTGATTATTAACATTTTTTTTTTAACAAAGATTATTAACATTTAAAAATAGTTAGATGACACTCTAATTGTTTCAAAATCTGAAAAGAGCCTAATCTATTTGGTATGACAGAGAAATAAAAAGTTGGAGAGATAGATAAAATATAATGTTTAGCAAAGAACAAAAATAGAAAGTATGAAAATTTTGATGAATTAACTTTCCTTCCTTGGTCAAAAAACAAAACTTTCTTTCTAAGTCACTAAAATCAATCTCTCTAAAATTAGACGAAAAAATAGATAAAAAATTAATTATGTGCATTGAAATGTATATTATTTACCAATATATCATTTAATATATATACATATATCATATTTATTTATTACATATTATATATATATTAATTTCATATATAGATATAATAGTAAAATATGCATCTATACTTTTTTCACTCTTCCACTTTTTCATCCTACCAAATACAAAAAAAAAAAAAAAACAATTTTTCCTACTTTCTAATCCCTCCTACCAAACACAATTAAGGAAATGAATGATTCATCTCTTAAATGATAGAAAGTGTTTTTGTCACACCCCATCCTGAAAACAGGTCAACCCCACCTCCTTTAAAATAAGGTATGGTTAAACATATATACATTTTTTTGAGAATGGGAGGTGGAGGGGGAAGGGGGTTTAAACCCTTAACCTCAAGAAAGTAAAACTTTCACAAGGTAAAGGGTACCATTAGACCAAAGACTCATTGGTATATGGTTAAACATAACCTAATATATTCATCAAAATTAAAACCAATGTAATACAATATATGCAAGGATAATCAAATCCATTCACATAAACAAAAAACTTTACATTAACATATAGTGTTACACACGTCGCTAGGGCATCATGCCCTCAAGACATTTTAATACAATATAACATATGACACAATGTACAACTAACACCAACCTCTTCTAAGCCAAGCCATACTACACAATGAGTCGTATTCTATCCCGAACACCTGAAATCAAACATCTGTTGGGGGGTTGAGCTATTAATATGCTTAGTGACTATATTCAAAACAAGAAAGAAAACATATAAACATGGAACAGTTATGAAACAAGTTTCATATAATAAAAGTAAAAATCAATATTTGATAACCCAATATGGCCTGGGAGTCTCGACGATAATACGGCCCGTAGTCTCGGCAACCATTACTATTGGAAAGCACATAACAACCACAATAAGTACTTGAACTCATAACCAAACATCAAGCTACAAAATTATAATCCACAAACTACATTCTAACCATTTACACACAAGTATAACTAACAAACAACCAATCAAGTTTTCAATCAATATACTTACATTGTGGTTAATTCTACACTCAAAATTACTCCCCCGACGAAACCCTAGGTGAAGTTGGTGTTGGCGTTGTCGTCTCCGCACCTATCATACGTCATCATAAGATACACATGAGTACCTGTGACACCCCAAAATCCGGGGGTCCATTGATTACCCATCAACCCGCGGAATATCCGTGGATACCAAGTAATTCGATATCACGCCATTATGCTCTATTTATCGGGAACCATAATTTTGACGAAATTCGGGCAGAGTCTCCTTTGTATGGGAAACTCTACCTAAAACTTAACCTGTGCAATCATATAATAACAAGACCCATCTGAGGTCCAATATTCAACAATGACCACACCGAGTCCAATTATAAGTAAACATTGGTCACACCAGATCCAATTATCCATATTTATATCAACACATGTAAGGTTAGTTTAATAATAGTCTATATAAGTTCTATTACAATTATTTGCAAAAGATTACATACCCAAAATATTATTTCCACAAATGTTTTACATTAACACAAAATAAAGCCACATTCGGCTTTCTTCAAACATGAGAGTCCAAAGTGGAGCCATCCACCAGTGTATCTCTCCCACCTAAAATATTTTCTTGTATAGGGTGAGCCAACGCCCAATAGAATAATCCATATAGAGGCTACTCTCCACCTTAAGTGCATATATGGTATGTATAAGCAACAAACAACATTTAACAATCATTCCATACAAGAATATGCATTAAATGTGGAATGTAATCATGTCATGCCATGAAATGAGATGATACTCACTCATGCACTTAAACCAAAGTCATCACCGACTCCCACGACACAATGCAATGCCAAGGTATACTGAATCCGTCAATTGACAAAAAAAATCCACCAAATGATCGTTTGAAATAAAAGTTGTTTTATTATAAAATCAAATCATTGATGGGTGTTACTCATTGTATGAGTACTTTGTAAATCAAAATCTTGTGTTTTGTTGGGCAACGGATTTTAGATTTTATACCGCCGGTTCTGTACACCATACTACACTTTTCTTTAATTTCACCACAGGAGAGTGTATAACCAAATCGNGTCTTGTTGGGCAACGGGTTTTGGATTTTATACCGTCGGTTCCATACACCATATTACATTTTTTCAGTATCTCACCATAGGGGAATGTATAACCAAGTTGCCGGGTCTTGCGCCCAAGGGGGGAATCTACCCCTTCTTGTTATATCCGACACAAGTTTTTCTTTCATGCAACCATGTGACTCATTTGAATTTTCAACTCAACTTTCTCAAGTCCACCCATCAATCACCAAGAATGGTGTTTGATTAACCATGCATACACACACCCACACTCATGACTCATGTCGATGAATGTGATGTCATGTTTCCGTGCATATGTAATGTGATGCACCATTGCACAACAACATAATGTTCAATATGCTATGAATGACATATGAATAATTTTCAACACATCTATGGTAAATTATATCCTAAGCATATAAATATCATATTTGTCACAATGTCAATATATATCAAAACATGCATATATCAACAAGTACATTTCAATCATAAATCATATCATAAGCATATGATTTCACATTACCACATTATCCAAGCATGTTATAACATAATCTCATGCAATTAACACACTTTATTTCACAAAGGTATTTTATCAAACACCTTAAAGACACTCAAGTCATATATTCACATAACTATTTCCCAAGAAATCATACTAAGTGATTTCTACAAACCATTTCAAGTAACCACATATTACAAGAAACAAACCACTTCAAGATAGAATGTATATTCCATCCATTTCTTATATCTACCAAAATACCAACCTCATGCAAAGGCTATACAACCCCACATGCTTAAACCCCTCTCCTATGAATACCATAGGTTAAAATGAACCAAAGTAGGGAAACCCTACCTTTTGAAGTGTAAATGAATACTAGAACCTCCAAGAACACCCCCAAAAGCTCAATACTTTGATTTCTCTAAAATCTCGCCTTTTGATCTTTGGTGAAAATCTTCGTTCTTGGTACCCACGCGTAGCCCTCGTCGCGTAGAGCAAATTTAATTCTTGGCTCGAGCGATTTTGATCGACGGATCTTCGAAAAATCGAAGGAGAAGGCTTAAGATTTTTGGTTTTTCCCTCTTTGCTCTCTTTTCTCTCTTAATCTCTGATACAGTCGGCCATAGGGGAGGAAAAAGCTAATATTTCAGATATTTTACCCCTATTTATAGTTTTAAAGACTTACCCCTCGTCGCGCCAAGTGTCCTCTTTTGTTCGGGTCCGTTTTTTGCTCTGAAACGATTAAATTTCGTACCGGTTTAAACTCAAAATATTTTATATGAACCTTATTTAAAATATTTTTTAAATTTTAAAATTTTTATAAAAATTTTATTTATGGGGGTCACCGGACATCCGTCATCTTGAAAAACGTGAAAGACCCGACTATCTCAGAATTCGACGAAATTTGTTTGGATAACTAGATTTTACGAGACGAATTCAACAGTGAGGTCTGTTT